CCACATCGTGATGTAGATATGTGGGGGCGTGTTAGAACGAGGCATTTAGGTAGGCGTGGTTGACTCTTAACTTTTATAAAGAATATCTCTTTGGATTTGAGACTTTAGTCTTTGCAACTTTACAGATCTTCTTTATGCACCAAGAGCTTGTAACACTCCAAAGAGAAAGGAAAAATTTAAATCGCATCATATGACCCCTTTAAATTCATAAAGTCATGGCATTAAATGTTGCATGCAGTGCAAAAAATTGAATATTTTCCTGAGTATTTTTGTATTGTTTTCCAATACAAAAAACATTAAATAAAGATACAGTTATTTGAGATGCCAAATGAAGATATGAAGTCTTACTTTCTGAGAAATTAACAAAATTAAGTGAGTTTATGTGGGGAATGAAAACTTGTTTTCTCTTTGAATTCAGTAGATTTTTCTGTGCCCATTAGTAGATATTTGTTCTTTTTCAATCATAAACTCACTTCAGTTTTAATCAGTTTAATAGAAAACAAGACTTATTCTCATGTAATTTTGTTTGTCAAGTAAATGTATCTTGATTTAAGAATCCTTAGTCATTTGCACTGAACAACAAGACAAAAATACTGATGAAGAACATCACTTTTTTTGCACTGTGATCAGAAGGTACAGTAAATGCTATGAAGATGACAGATTTTTAATTATTATAAAAGGAGAGCTCTTTGCATGTGTTCTAGGCTATATATAATCCATCCAGAATTTTCATGTTGCTAAGAGGACCAGCAGCCACACGCTCCAAAGACATCCACATAAAAATAAGGGATTCACTCTTGAAATTGCAATGCTTGACATTGTGATAGCATTGTGATAACATGTCAGGAGTGTCTAGTGCCACCCTGAACCCCTTTCTGGCTCCACCACTGCATCTCCTTGCGCTTGAACCGATAAACACACACAAAATTATCTTAAAACACCTATCGCGGCAAGTATTCTCGCAAACACAGTCTGTTATGTAAAGTTAAGTAAAGTGAATGTAAACAGAAAGAAATCGGATATGTATCATTATTGGATCTATGCATTCAGTCTTAAAGTGACAGCAGCCTATAAATACCTGCTGCTGTCTATGTCATTTTTGTTAACCAAACAACAAAACACAGCTTTAAAAAAATTATCCATATTTAATTTATACAGTGAACACTGTGCAGTGTTATTATACAGTTAATTACATTTCTATAGCTGAATGCTACTGTTAGACCTTATTTTATTTGTAACTTTGTTCTGTTGTATTTATCTATGATTGAAATTTCATCACTGCCTGTTCACTTGTCATTATAATGTTTGAACTTTATTCAAGTTTTTGCTCTGGTATTGAAGAAGAAGAGCGGTCGACTGTGGCATATTAAAAGCTCCGCTGCTTTCGAGCCGTGTGTCACGCTAATTTAGCGGCCTCGTTTCGCTTCGACGGCTTTCAGCCTCACCCTGCTTCATTCTACTATGTTAATAAATCATTAGCTCATCCATGAACATGATTTCTGCCCGAGTCCCGTCGGATTGCTTCGGCTGTGGGGATGAAGACGACAACTCCCATGATTCCACACTCAGTCACAGCGTCATCAAACTACGCCTTTGCCTCTTTGTTTATTTTGAATACGCGCCCTCTAGTGGCGAAAATTACATATTGTGCCTTTAAAGTGTTCTTTAAGATGAGTGAGATCAGTGATTAATAACTAAATCTGATTGGTTCTTTGTGTTTACAGGACCCGGAAATGGGCGATGCAGATGCAGGAGGAGCTAGTGCAGTTGATGGATGCTGAGACCGGCATACAAAAGCTTCAAAAAGTAAGACCACACATTTGTTTTTCAGCATTTCATATACTGCCACAAAAACAAATACAAATGTGAGTCACATTAGCTTGGCAATTAGCATATATGTACTACAGAGTGCTACAGTGGCCAGCCACATTTTGGTTCCGGAACTTTAAATTTTTTTTCTCATTAATGTTAAAGCATTAAATGTCATAAACCAAACCAACCAGCCTTGATTTAAATCCCAACTTTGATTTGAAGCAATTAAGTATTTGAAAATTGGACAAAAACACAAAGATACAAGTGGTACAAGTGTGTATTTAACGGCTTTAATAAAGGAAAAAAACAATCCCATGAAGCAGTGTGAATGACATAATTGAATTAAAAATTATGGAGAAATATAGAACTATACAAATAGAGCATATGGAGATTACTTCATTTGAAGTGCTTCATGGGAGTGGGTGGGTGCTAAAGAATTATTTCGGCACAATTTTCTTGCAGTAGTCCTCTGATTGGAGGAGCTTTTCTGATTGGATGGGTAATGTAGTTTTTCACCAGGAATTCCACTGTTAAACATGATTATTTAAAAATGAAGTTGAAATAATGCAGGCTGATGGCTTCAACAAAAGCATATACCTTTGATCAACAAAATCCAAGCTTATAGTAGATCCTGTTTCAGTTTTAGAAGTTGTCCTTAAAAATCAATTTCCCTATGCAGAAAATGAATGGGACTTGCTAGTGCAGTAGTTCTAGAGTTCTCTTTTCAGGGATGAAGGAAAGTCGTGACATGAAGGTGAATAAATGATTACAGAATTTTAATTTTGAGTGAACTAGTACAACTTCAAAAGGAGCAAAACTGCTTTAGCATCTCTATCACCCAGTCTCAACAAAACCTTGTGCTGTATGTCATGTGGTTTGCCATTCTGAAAGTATTTGTGTCCAAGGCAAAGACTATTTGGTGTGTGTGAGAGTCAAAAGAATTTCATCAACCCACAATTCCTGCTGCCAGCTGTTGAACTTGGTGGCGATCTTTAATGGTACTGTGGTCAACTTATGGGGGTCATGAGGTCCAGTGTTTTCTCTGGACCAAAGATTGTTCTGTCATATATAATGGTTAATGATTTTTATTTATTTAAATTTTTTACAGGGCCAGATACACTCAGTGATACAAATGCATTCACTCTCACTGCTAAATAAATATATGAGTGCAAATCACAAATGATCAGATATCCTCAAACCTATACGGGACATTTTGTAAAATACAGCACAAAGTATATCCCTCCAACTTTTATGGACTTGTTGCAACGGCACTGATGGCAACAGAACTGATCATTCTTATTTTGGCCTTTATTATTATATATATATATTGTATCATGTTTTTTATATATGTTATTCTATTCTAGTCTTCTTAGCACATCCTGATTATTAATGTTTTGCAGTCGACCTTCTAACCACTAAATAATTGCCTGTTTTAGCAAAGTCTGAAACATATTCTGTAATCCATATACATTCTTACCAGTTTTACTGTTTTTACATAGTCATGTTCTGGATTAATTACAGTTGCTTGCAAAAGGTTTGGATATTTAATCTATCTATTTATCTATTTATGCATTGCTTATCCCAACCGTTTTTACATTAGACTAATTAGATTTGCAGGTATGTTTTTAATGAATGCTATGCTTTCTGTCAAGGCTGTGGCACTAGAAGAGTGTGTTTTTTTTTGTTTTGTTTGTTTTTTTATGTGCTCATAAGTAATGGCTTTTGAGACAAATTCCAGCAAGTAAACCGGAAACCTCTCTTTCTATCTTTCTCTCTCTCTCAGATTTTCCTGCAATTTCATAGACACTATGATGTCAAGCAAAACAACCCTACACAGCTGGTGGCAAAAGCTGCACGTGAAATCGAGAACCTTCTTGCCAACCGTTCCAAAGCTCTAGAGGTAAGTAATGAGCATTATGCCACATGTTATCATCTCATAATCCAAAACATATAGCACCTTAAAGGGGTTTTTGAGATGTTTACACATTGCAACTGAATATATATGTTTGATTTGATGCAGCATGGGTTATAACCATGCAAAACAATGGAATTTGCTTTATAATCATGCATATTTCCTGTCGAGGTGTATTCCATGTGTCTCAGGTGCTCAGAATAGCGTACCTAAATGCTGCTTTTGCTATTTCATCTGCATTTTCTGTATGTATGAAATACCCAGATGATCTACTACATTTGCAAAAATGAGCAGCATACAACCAAATCGCAGTACATGGAAAACTGTATTCCACAATGCAGTGCATGTATTAAGTTATGTATTTTCTAAAAATGATACTTTAAAAAATATATATTTTTAAGAGAAGTAGGCAGTATATGGTGTAGTTACAGTGTAGTATGTACCAAGCTAGTTTCCCAAATATAGCCATTGTTTTTCTCTGCTCCATTCAAAACCCTTCCAATCCTACTGTATGTTGTTAGTAAATTAGATCTTGCAGAAAGATCCAGCTTGGATCGACCTGCATCAATCTAGCTCTGACTGATAAAACTGGGTCCAGAATGTTGGCAGGGCTCCTTCAAGCTGAAAGTTAATTAGTTTGCCGATACTAATTCTGTTTTTTTGATTTTCTTTCTTGATAAACTGTACTCTGTGTGCCCTAAAAACTACATTTCAAGAGCATTTTCCATTAATGTATGAATAGGTATCATTAGAAATCATTATTCGGGCTCATTTTCCATGATAGTGGAGAAATACCACATGTTGTGTGTGCTTAAGCAGGGTCAGTCAGTGTTATAAATGTTTAACTCTTGCCCCTGAAGTGCAGGTGATGTATATGGCAGACTGTGTGGTGCTGCTTTTATTGGTCAGTATTAAACACATCGCTGACAGCACACCCTGATGACTAAATGAAAGTATTTACCTTTCTCTCTCTCTCTCTCTCTCTCTCTCTCTCTCTCTCTCTCTCTCTCG